GAAAAAATGATGCTAAAGGACCACTTTTTAATTCGATGTATAACAACCGCGGGGGTCTAAGAGAAAATAACGGCGAAAGCTATAGACACAAATAACTAAATTACCAAAACGTTAGTATATCTCCTAGGTTCATTAGTATACAAAAGGGTCACACTCATTCACGAAACTTTTGCCAGATCGTAAGATTTTCATGTATAAAATTAATATATACAAGAAGAAAAACTTTATGGAATAACAATCCAGCAAGGTTAACTGACTGCTCGACTAAGAGGCAAATCCAAAAGTCTTCTCTGATCAATCCACCAATATGCATAACAACACTTGATGTCACAATAAAAACTTAGACCTTTTGTGGTTTTTCGTTTGTTTGTTTTTTAATTTCTTTTCTTCCTCCCTCCCCTTCCCTGGCACAGACTTTGCTGCATCACGTGTATTAACATATGAATGAAACAAACAGAGCCAATGCATTTAAGGTAATACCTATGCACTGTTCTTGCCTGATTATCTTTTTATGGAAAGTTGCATTAACTAATGACATTTACATAAATATGAATAATTATTAAGTTGGAGTTTCTGCTTTGATAGTGGAAGGATTCTTCTTAAGAGTCTGGATTTCAATCCAAATCTTTGCTAGCACCAATCTTCCTGACAGATTACATACACTGCGTGCAGATAGGGAGAAGGAGAAAGGGTGTGTGTGTGCCACATTTATATTGTTTTCTTTATTCAAATGTGAAACTTTTCTCCTATGTCCCTCTTTTACCTCCCCCCCAGACCTCCAGTTCTGAACAGAGTTCAGTGGCTGTAAATGATAGGTTCCCAAAGAATCAATCCGCACTCCTCTAGTACTTTGCAGAGAACAATGCAAGTATTAGGATATCAGCAGCACTCGAAATGATCACGCGTTAAATTATTTTGCTTTCACGGATGAGGAGGCTTTTTTCCAATGTAAATCAAGCGCTTTAGTTATTAAGTCTGAACACTAATCTCCAACAACCTTTACATAATGTGGCAGAATGTGCCACACCACTTCGCACCTGCACTCTGAATAGAGGCGCCTTTTCAATGTAAGACACGCTTGTTGCCCTTCTGTTCCAAAGGAGTTGTCTGAATAAGTCAAGCTTTTTGAATACCCATACTCGCTTTCTCTTTCTCCTTTGATCACAGAAAATGTCTTCTAATTTGTCCTTTTTCATTGTAACAACGTTTTCAAGTCTCTTTTTATTTTCCAAACCACATATTTATAAAGAACATAAATCGCCCAAGAAAACAAAAGTTCCTTCCTAGCCAACTGGCCAAGTAGCCCATGATCACTTTGTTCTTCAGAAAAAGTTCTTGCAAAGACTGTTGCTTCTTGAGTTTGTTCTAAACAAATGCTTAACTTTTTGACATAATACTCGGAGATAAACATATTTGCTTCCATTAAAATTAAGGCTATTTGTATTTGACTTTTGTAGCTGTTTCCTGCTATCAACAGACGTCTCTGGGGAGCTGCATTTAAATATTTGTGCATCAGCAATAAATGGCGTATAAAACGTATCAGTCTTGTACATGTTAGGCATACATGGTATTTTAACCTACCTGTTATAACTGCGGGAACGTTAGGCTTTTTTGAGTTCATAAGTCACATCATGGCAAAACCTGTTTTATAGAGTGGTGTTTTTTGCATGAATTAATTAATATCGGAGCAGTCTCTATTAACGGCCTTCGAATATAATTTACTCTAATTTGTAAATGTTAATGGGAAGCAGAACCGCATAATTTCTAAAAATCCTGCAAATTTTCTAGAACCCCATATTTTTCCACGGAGGAGATGGACATTGCTCTGCTATTGAACTAAGAATGGGAAGGGGGGCTGAGGGATAGGCGGGGTTAATTTATGGACATTAACAATATTTTACTTGCACGTTTGTTCTTTCTATATGGCTACTGCAAACCACAGTTTCAGCCTTGTGCAATTTAAACCTGAACACGTGCAGTGTGTTCTGTATCTGATATACCACAGCCAAACATTCCCAAGGAAATATGATGCATTTTATCTGTGTGTCTCATAAAAAGCAATGGTTTAACAAAACTTATATTAAACTGACTTCTTTGTATGCTATGCCTTACAGGCTGAGCTAGAAGTTTTTCACTCCTATTTCTAACATATGAGTTGGAGGGAGAGTATTAGTGCATCTATCGATTATTATTAATTAGCACGTTAATCAACTTTTTAATCCTAGCCAACAGCTGCCATCGCATTTCTGATAGAACTATAATCCCCAAGTAAATTTAGGCATATTTGCAGCCAGCGCATCATAATACCATTTCCCCCCTTTTCTGATGGGTTTTCTCAAACACCAAGAGGTTATTTTATTACATTACCGTAGGCTCAGGGTAAAAAAAACTAACAAAATCCTCTAATACAGTTTAAAACACTTTGATGTCTTGCCAAGAACACACTTCCTTCAAGAGACAAGTCAACATTTGTTTTTCACATTAAATGGCGTTTAGTTGCCACTGAAAAAATGATGCTAAAGGACCACTTTTTAATTCGATGTATAACAACCGCGGGGGTCTAAGAGAAAATAACGGCGAAAGCTATAGACACAAATAACTAAATTACCAAAACGTTAGTATATCTCTTAGGTTCATTAATATGTAACAGACTCCCCAGTTAATCTCCAAAAGCCAGTGTTCCCCCTCTAAAATAGCACTCTGGGACGAATTGTACAGCAGATCAATCACTGCTAATGCAGTAAGGTTTACTGCAAGGAGGGGGGAAGCTATTTACACCTTCAAATAGAAGCTTTTGAGATTTAAGAGTAAGGGTCATACATCACCAAGAATAAATGATTATGAATTGGTAAACGCGCCCTGCAGCCATTAGCTATGCGACACGATTTATCATTTCTCTGTGTTTTTCTTTTTAAAATCATCTGGCTATTTGGAAAGAAAAGCATGACACACACACACACACACACACACACATACACACATACACACAAACCCAACCCCAAAACACCGCGGGAAAGTTTGTTTTTGAATATACTATAAGTCATCAAAAATGGTTCTTCAGATATAAACGGGGTCACTTATGAATTGCTTAACAGAAAACAATGGAGCCCTTTCATTGTACCCATTATTACTAACCGATTGGTTTGCCCACTAGAGTTGACACATCAGAAGCATTTATTTTTTAACCTTAATTATAAGTTACTAACTTGTGAATTTCATAAACAATCAATTAAGTCATGACAATGATTTTTTTCTTCCTTGCTTCCTCTTTTCTTCTCTCATCACTTTCATAGGAATTTAAAGTAAATGTAACTTTTTGCCATTTTTCAACTGTTGACAGCTGTTAACCTACACATTCACAAATGTGCCATTGAAGGACTGCACCCAAAAAGACCTTTACGTGACACATGGTAACACACGTTCTGTGTGTAATACAAGAGACTACACATTACATAAGAATTCCATGACAGGAAAAGGTGAGGGCTCACTCCGGGCTGTGATTGAAAATAATGCACTGTTTATCAGGCTATAGAAAATGACCTAATTTTGTGATGAGATTTGTGAGGTTTGTCTGTTTATTGAAATGACTTCAAAATGCTATGGAAACCTAAGGTAGAGTTTCTTTTAGGAGGTCCTCAAGGCGGTGGGGGTGCTGTTAATCAAATAAAGTAAATAAATAAATAAATAAATAAATATTAGTAGGAATGCAACCATATATTTTTCAGAGGATGGAACAATCAGTGATACTACTGTCCCCCTGTATAAATACGGTCAGGTCCTGGCCATCCTACAGCAGCACCGACCCTTCCGAATTTTGGGCTACAGAAAAAGAACTAACCTCAACTGGAATTTGTTTAAGGTCTGGTTGCTAAAATAACTGAAAACTACATGTCATCTCTTGCCCATACGCTCCAATTTCCCACAGGAGCGGAGTGTATGTGCATTGGGATCATTCCAGCTTTCTTCATTTCTAATGTTTATATTGCCATAAGGAAAAGTGTACAACAGTGAGGTAAAAGTGGAATCACCTGCTGACTATTCCTTTGAAATATCAATTCACAAAAAAATGGACAAGAAATGTCAATAGTTTCCCCTCCCCCCCCCTCCTGGAATTCTGAAGTTGGATGGCAGTTTAGCAATGCAAACATGCAGACGTACCTCTTTGGAAGGAAGCCCTTATAAACTTTGAAATCACTTCAGTTATTTAAGTTTTTATAAGACCTCTGGGAGAAAGACGTGCTAGATATTTACAGTCAGAAGGACTCAGAGGTAAAATATAAGGTTCCCTAAACTGCTACATACAGCTATCCCATAAATCGGATTTCAATTGTGACAAGTGCCTGTTTTCTTAGGGTAAGAGATTTAATATGTCTGGTGAAAAAGGGTTTGTGGCAGTAAGTCTCACAGTAGGTAATCAACTCTGCCAGGGGTCTTGTACAGAAACTTCTAACGCGCACTACTGAAATATTTGCAAGATTTTGGAATAAAACAACCTTATAGATCTGAGAAATAGTTGAGATTTCTGTTTTATTTTACAAGCTTGTTATAGGTGCATTTCTCCAAAGGGCACTCTTTATGCAAATAGAAGAGAAAAAACCCCCCACGTAAGATGTTCTGTGGAATGCTGGAATCCTTTACAAAACTTAGCTTCATAAATTATTGTTTATTGGGTGCCTTGAATATACGACATAAAGTTTCATGCTATATGTTTTCAAATCTTTACTGATAATGTTACAATTTCTTGTTCAAGGTTTTGAAAAAAGCCCCAAATCTGGAGCCATAACATTTGCTGGAAGAAAATATGAATCTTTAATCCTGACATTTTGATGTTTCTGTGTCTTTTGTCGTTTTTAACGATAACAAGCAAATATCTATTGTTTGCTAAACTGTAAAATAACGATGATATAAATATCACACAGATAATTTAACAGGCCAAATCAGAAAAAAATATAATACATTCGCGACTAATGAATATTACTGCATTCTGACTGAAGGCCCAATCCTACTCCTCTTGAAATCAATGGCAAAACTCCCATTGACTTCAATGGGGCAGGATAAGCCTTTAGATGCAAAGGGGGAGGATGGGATAGCGTGGAAATATAACTAATATTTTTCATGAATTAATAGAAAAAGCGAGATGGTGGTGGTAGGATCATCCATCCAGTCCTTGCTCAAACACAATTCCCATTGAAGTTTCCACTTCTCATTCCTAATACACATACACAGGTCCTGTCAACACGAGGGAAAATTTTTACTGGGAATAATGCCCAAGTAAGGACGGCAGGGTCCACATTCTTCCTCCTCCCCCATTCATTCAGTAGTAATACAATAATGTTTACTGTCTCTCTCAGAGAGACAGAGGGAGTGAACTAACTGGGTCAAGTCCCGTTTCCTTTACTCACTTCAGTGGTCCCACTGAAGTCATGCAGGGTAAGTTGTGGCCCACAAAATGTGGGTTATATTAAAAATTGATTACAAAAGCCTCTCCTCTTAAAGAAAATACCCAACCTGCCTGTAGTGTTCAGGAAAAAAATGCTATTAGCTGATTTCAGTCATCTGGAAAAGACGAAATTGTTTCCTTGGATATATAATGCTGCACTTCCAGTTCGAAGTAGTATCCATTTCCTCTTTATTACATCATTCTGCATTTCATTTCTATGCTTTTATATTTTACTGCTGCTCCTTTCCCCTGTAAAATATTCTTTTCGAAATAATTTTTGCCTGTGCAAGCCACAGAAAGTCTCTGAAGATCCATAATGCTATTATTTATCTGACTTTTTGTGCCTCCAAGTGCTGTATACATTATATAATTGCTTTAAAATGTTTTCATAAATTACTTTCAGAAATGTGTCATAGTAAATTACCTTTGTAATAAAATGTAAAAAATGCAAATGGCTGTTGTCTTTATTACGTTTTAAACCATTGGTTTATCTGCACTATTTCACTTGTCAGTTGCACAATATGTTGTATTAAGGGAAAGCACAGTTTGATAACAGATAGATGGAACCTCGTGTGTAATCTAGCAGGCACGTACAGTTTGGGTCATTTCCTCATCTCCCGCAGAAAAGACATTATCCCTCTCATATTTACATACTTTTCAATATTTGTCAAACAATCATAAATTATAAATTAATGAAATGTTCGACAGTCTTCAGAGATCAGACTAATGAAGACATTTACCTTTTTGGTGATTTGGAGTCTCATCTTTGTAAGTTTAATGACATTTAGACTCTCACGGTTTATTAGGCTTTATTAGATTTGTCCTTCACTCCTGCTGTCATTCAGATGTCTCTGCATAAACATCACCTGCTTCAGGTACAAGAACAAATCGACTTTTTTTTCCCCAGGAAACTTTAAACAGGAACACCACCATCTCTACATTTTAAGAGTGAACGTAGTGTTCTGTTGAAAAGCTGACAGGGACATATTTTTTTATTGATTTATTTCATGATCTCTACCCTAAAAGGGCTTTAAAACATTTTACCTGGGCAGTATTGACATGCATGATTTACAGTTATTGCAATGTGATTTATAACTACAATCTACTCTAATAAATAGAACTATCTGACTTGTTGAGGGTTTTGGAAAATCACTCCCAGAAAACATTATTCAGCTGAGTTTTTAAATAACCTTCTGAAGTAAGGAAACCACAATGACTCCACTTCTAATAGACTCCAAGACAAGCAAATAAGTAGAAGTCATCCCAAACTTATTTGACCTTATTCAGTCTCTTGTTGCTCCTATATTAACTAAGGCCCTGGTGAAAAGATTTAGAATAATTTTATCTAATGGGCTTAGCATGAGACAATGGTGTTCTTTAAACTAGGTGGCTTTTGATTCACTAGCATTACTGCAGAAGCTTCTGAACATCAGACCTTAACAAGTTTCCCCATGTAAACGTTGAATGCACTCGAATACATTCTGATGGATGGCTACCTATCTTTCCAATAAAATTATGGATGACAAATTATGTTCACTGCAGAAAGGTCACTTGATCATCACGGTCTACGTTTGGCTTCTGATGCCAACCGTAAATCATACCTAACAGAGGCAAACATTGTGAGCCAGCATGGTGGGAGAGTCGGTTCTGGCACCATCTTATTTTTAACGAAGACACTGAACTCGCCAACGAGTCCGGTCAGAGTTATCGTAATCGAGTTTTGTAATTTCATTACTCAGTTTGCAAATTTCAGGAGCATGTGTCGGGACACCATATCCACTCCAGGATTCCACCCACCCGGGGAGATCAAGAGGGCCTTCTTGAACCCAGACTCTTCTCTTTCGTGTGATGCCCAGATCTCAGTGCATTGACTGGATTGAAATCCAGTGAATACCTCCCCCATTCAATTATTGGTCTGCAAGTGAACCACATCTTCCTGTGCGAACATACGTTGTGTCAAAAATAGTGAGCGGGATCAAATCCACTCCCTCGAGCAGAGTTGACAGCTCTGCAGATCGAGGGTGGGATGGGAGTTTGATGGCATCAGGGAACTCCCAACCTCAGTCTGGGGCATGGACTGTGTGTTAGCCCCTGCGCTTTATGAAACATACAACCGGTATAAGCCTCGGCCCATTGAAGTACACGCTAAGAACCTATAAAACTGTTTGCAGAGACTTCCAAATATTTCCAAACAACGTTTTTTAAAAACACAATGGAGAGTTATTAAAGCGCTTGTTGGTAAAGTGAGCATGTGTTCTGCAATCATCAAAAATTGATATGTACCGCCAGTAAAGTAATTATGCACCATCCTGAGGATACGAGAACAGTACATTGTTAATCCACTTGCACACCCGTTGACTTGCAGCATCAGGCTGCAAATAGCTTAATTAAGTCATACACGTGGACTATAACCATACTGTTACATTGCATTATGCACACTATATCTCAATTTATTGGGACAATTAATGCTAGTAATAGACCTCGGGCAAAAAATATTAACTGCAGAGCACTAAAGTTGCATGTTACTGACATTTGCAGTATAGGGAATAAAAACTACAAGTCAGAGCTTCCACATAACTGGAGAGGAGCTTAACTCCCTCCCCTCCCCCACACACACATACACTCCATAAGTCTCTAGCAGGCACTGTGTAATCTTTGGTGGAAAGATCATTACAATGGACACTACCTATTATAGTCCCGATTAAAGAAAGACTCCTCTAGGGAGTTTTGACTCCTTAAGGATCGGGCCCGATATTATGGTGAGTCCTAAGCACGAAAGATCACAAAAAAGATATGGGAGCACTTTTAAGGTTGGTTAAATATGCTAAATGAGCGAGGATATTTTTAACATATTTTTAAACAAAGAAGTCAAATATTGATCAATGAACCCTCTATTTTTGTACATAATCATGACTTTGATCAAATTCTGTTTACCTTTGTTCCCATGTAAGCAGACGCCCCCCAAAAGGTATAGATTAACACATTTGATAGTGTAACCATACTGATGTTGTAACTATATTGTAAGTCCTGAACCGTAAGGTACCTAAGGACATATAAGAAAACGACTTTAAATATAAATAACACATTATGTGCAACCCTAAAATAACACATACGTCTGACTTACTGTAGAAGTTTATTAAGACTTGTTGATATTTATGAGAGGGGTAGCCGTGTTAGTCTGAATCTGTAAAAAGCAACAGAGGGTCCTGTGGCACCTTTAAGACTAACAGAAGTATTGGAGCATAAGCTTTCGTGGGTGAAAGTCTTGCGTCTGATAAAGTGGACATTCACCCACGAAAGCTTATGCTCCAATACTTCTGTTAGTCTTAAAGGTGCCACAGGACCCTCTGTTGCTTTTTACTTGTTGATATTGTAAGTTAGAAGATACTCTTCTTTAAAGTAACAGGAAAAATGAAGGAATTATATACAAGAACGTGATTTTGAGAAGGATCAGTAACTTGTACCTTTAAGCTAGCAATAATTCCTTCGAACCACATTGGAAATAATTCATTATTCTGCAGTCCTTTGGTTGCTACTTGGATAAGACTCCTCCTCACTATAAAGAAAGCTTCGACTGAGTAAGGACTGAGCTAGAAATTCAGATTTCAATCCAGTATTGACGCTTTGCTTTTATACAACACCTCTCATGACAGGCTCTCAAAGAGCTATGCACAAGTGGGTAGCATTATTAGCCCATTGTTCTAGATAAGTATACGGGGAAACCGCGAAGTTAGGTGACTTGACCAAGGTAATATGAGGCTGAGTGAGGGGTGGAACCTACTCAGTTTACTTCCACTCCATTGCTAGACTATTGTACTTATCGTTTGCATAAGAAAGTCATAGTTTTACTTAATACATGTACGTATGTGTCTATGTCTGGGTGCCTGTAATAGGGGTGTGTGTGTGTGTGTGCTAGGATTTTATTCACCTGGAGCGCTCTCTATATATACACACATTTTCTGGAATGCCATTCAGAATTAAACAGATATTATTTTCGGGAAGACAGCTATTCATTTGGATTTATTTAACTACCTGTTCGAAGTTTTCTAAATTTCTCGCGATCTGAACTAACTGATGTTTCCTGCGAACCTGAAAATGGAGCTCTCTGTTCATTCCAATTAATTTTTATTAAATATAACCTGCTTTTGGAAAACATAGTCCATTAGCAAAGGAAAGTGAATTCCCAGCATCGTAGCATCTCTGATTATACGGGTTCCCCAAACATTTCTGGACTAGGCTGTACAATCGGTAACGACGTTTGCACTGAATTTCTTGCCTACAGATCATTAACTAAGGTACAGTTGCCGAATGAAGAGAAAAAAAAATGATTAGGACTCAGCATCGGTTTGTAAAGGAAGAAAACGTGTTTGTAGCACCATCCAAATATACTTAACGTTAATCACAGCGAACGTGCATGTTTATTATTCCGAATGGCAACTTGTTTAGAGGATTTCACCTGTTCGCCAAAGGGACAGGACGTTCTGATTACACCGGAGCTGAGTTTTCACGTTTTGTTCCTTCTCGCCAGACACTTTTATTCACTCTTAGTTCCAAACTTTTTCTAATAAAAAACCCTCACGAATAATCATTGCACAATGATTCCTCGTTCAGACCATCATTATCGCTTTCATCATCATTTACAACAACTGTTAAGGAGCAAGTCCCCCATAGTCCGGGTATTGGTCATTAGGAACGCGTAAAGTGAGTTCGTTCTTCCTCACGTATTGATTGTGTGACAGTGATCAAGTGACACCCACCCCTTTCCATTAACTTATCCCAATCTTTCAAATGCGTCCCCCGATTTTTCTTATTCTTTTTCGTTTCATGGTTTGCAACGTTAACTGAATGTAAGATGAAAACTATTAATAGAATTGGAGAAGATCCAATTTCATGGAAACATTCAAACTATCCAGCTTCACTTTTCTTTTTCAATAATATTTACCTGACTGATATGGATCAATTTAATGAATAACTAAGAAAACGGAGAGTCTTTATTGTTTAAAAGGAAAACACAGTGTGCATCACACACACACACATACAGGCACCTCAGATAAAAGATAAGCAAACCAACAACATATGGATTAAACGAAAATGCAAAGACGTGTTGCAAATTTTGTTGTGGGGCAAGCATTCTTTAGGTGGCATTAACGGGTAGATGGACATGTTGACAAGAAATCAAATCACATGATTTTCTTTATGGAATACAAGTCCTCTGCCTTATCATTTAAAATGACTGCAATGTTCTTCATACTGCAAAACAGGACCTGCAGGAATTAGTTTAGAGGTGATGAAAACAATGTATTCGTTTAGAAACAGGTGACTATAACTTGAATTTAGTTAAGAAATGGAACATGTGTAGTAA